ACTTCACCTTCACCGGATGCAGGCATCCTCTCAGAATGCTTGGCCACAAACAAGCGTGTTGCTGGAGCGTGTGCGTGGCCTCCAGCTGGCTGATGTGGTGAGCTGCCCGGCCACACCTTGAAGCGAAGTGCACAGGTTGTTTTGTTTGACTTTTTTGGGAAGATTGTCGACTTGGGATTAGGAATAACGTCGAGTAGGTAAGGTGAGTAAACTCACCTTTCAGGCTACGCCTCCGCGATGGATGGTGTCTCATGGCCGAGGAGCCTGGCCTTGTTGGTCCAAGGCGTGCAGCCGAACCTCATCAGACACTTGGACCGCATAGACCACATCCTGTCATCCTGTTTGAGTACAAAAATGCACCAGACAAAAGTGCATTTGGAGATTTATTGATTCTGCTGTTGCCCAAAGTGTGCGTTCCCACGTGAAGCAAGCAATTTGGAAGCCTTTTTCCTTTGGACACTGCTCGGGTAGCATTTCTTTAGGCTTCAGCTCCGGCATCAGCTGCTGCGAAAGAGCTAGCTGCTGGCTGCAAGGCATCTCGTTGTTGAGGCGCTACAGCACTTGGATGTGAAGACTTTTGACTTGGGTCTAGGCATGTCTAGGCCTTTGTACAGTATTCAGTCGATTTCAACGTACTCCTCACGCCCGTTGCTTGCCAAACTTCACCCACATATTTTCGATCTACTAATCTGTTGACCAATGACCAATTCTCTCACTGTGGTGCCATACATACTGGGTTTGGACCATTTAGTCCGCTTGCTGCGAGAGCCAGCTTGAACCGTTTGGCTGGGCAGGTGCTTAACTCAAGTTGGCATTGAGGCCGACAAAATTGTGATGAACAGTGCTGTAAGTGCCGCTTAGTTGCCCTAGGGCGTGTGCAGTCTGTCCACAAACTTTTCAAAAGTGTCCGGTTTGAGGCCTGTAGCGACACATGGCGAGTGGCGCTGCAATTGCTGCATGAGACGGAGCCAGAAGTCATCAGTCGCTGAGCGACCAAAACAACAAGTTCTCCAAACAACCATATCAAGTTGCAACAAGAAGTTCACAATCTTGCGCAACTGGATCCGAGGTTGCAACGCTGCCCTCAGCGCTTGTGCTAAGGGCGGAAAGTGGCAACTTGCTCTCCACTTGCTGATGTCTATGCCAGGGCTTCAATTGGTCCCCAACGTGTGTCCTGACATCAGAACATTTCTCACCCTCAGGTGTTTGCAAACGTTCTTGACGAAGCACCCGTTGTTCTTGTAGGCACATGTTTTAGGATTTCGTACAGCTGCGCAATCAGTGCTTGTGAGAAGGCCGCCCATTGGCCAATGGCACTAGCTTTGCTGCAGCTGATGCACGACCACCTGGTGACACCCAACGTCATCAGTGACTTGTGGGAAGGGGTTGTTTTGTTTTGCAGAGGGAGGTGGCGGGTGTTGCAGTGCAAGCTCAGCTTATGTGAGGTTTGATGTGCATTCTGAGGCTTCAGCAGCGCGATCAGCGCTTGTGAGAAGTGTGGACGTTGGGAGGAGGCTTTGGCTTTGCTGGCCGTGTCTCGGATGTGTTTCAAAGACATCGGCAACTTTCAATCGGCTCGGCTTTATTGTCCAAACTCAAGGACACGGTGATCACTTGTCGGTTGTGGGATGTTTGTAGAATTCCATGTTTGGGCCATACTGAGTCCTGTATATGCTGGCCTGAGGTTCAGTTGGATGTCGACGTTCTGCCGGATGGCGTCAGCTGCTCGGCAACGGTTCAGTTCCTTTTCCCCGAATCCGTGCTGCGTGTGCGTACCTGGCGAGGCTACAACAGTGCCATAAGCGCCTGCGAAAAGGCCGCCGAATGGGAACTGGCCATCAAGATGTCCACAGCAGAGATGCCCAAGGAGCTCTGCAGAGTGAACCTCAAAACGCATGGTTTCTTGTGATGTGCCAAGGATCGCAACCTTAGGGAATGATGGGAATGATGCCCAATATAGGGGATTGTGTTTGGAACCGTGGTGGCGCTGAGAAGCCTCAAACCTCCACCCTGCTGAGAGCCCAAAGAACATCGATAGCTAAAAGTGGACAATGACTGTGTGTTGCTGGGAGCCTGGGAGCCGATTCATTCCCCATGGCCTGCTGTTGGGGTAGATCTTATAGCATCTTATAGCCTCGGATTCCATCTTCCGCCCGAGCCAGGCCCAGCTGCGTCCGGATGTGGTCAGTTACAATGGGGCAATCAGTGCCTGTGAGCGGTGTGGGCTTTGGACAAAAGCCTTGCAACTGCTGGAGCTCATGGAGCAGGTCTTGCAGTTGCAAATAGTGGTGCTCATATGTGCCTATGTCATGGAAGGAAGAGAGGACAAAAGGAGGGTATGGGCCCCTTAAAGAGCCTTATTAGTATGGCAGAAGCACCTTCTTTTCATCCCTTTTGCGTTTCATGTCCGAATCGTCGTTTCTGTTTCGTGCTGATGTAGCTAACCGATGTGAGACTTCCACCCCTCCGCTTCGATGGCTGTCGAAGATATCTATTTATTGTTTCTACTAGCTTCTTGCTAACTAGTAGTAAGGCCAGGAGCCCCTAGTAGCGTCCTTGCTCCTAGTAGCGATGCCCTTTGCTCCTAGTAGCTTCTTGTTCTATTCCACCCTACGCCAGCACTTCCAGTGCCCTACGGCCCTACGACCCCACATCATTCAATAGGCAGAAACGGCGTCGCTGGCATCAGGCGGCCGTTCTCCCAGACCTCATCAGCTTCAGCTCGGCCATCAGCGCTTGTGAGAAAGGCTTTGAGTGGAGCTCAGCCGTGCATTTGCTTCAGAGGCTCGAAGGGTCGGACAGAGCGAGCTGAGCGAGGCTACAGAAGCTGAGCGAGCTGTAAATACTATGCAACTACCTTTTACTTGTGTTTACTTGCATTTGCTTGTGCATGTTTATGGCCTGTGGCCTTGCAGGATGGTGAAACTGGAAATCTTGCCAGATGCCACCGGTCGTCAGAAAAGAGCTTTCAGCTGGTTCTAGCTTCTGGCTGTTCCTTCTGTTCGTGACAACTGTTGAGCGGTTTAGCTTAAGGTGATTTGCTGGAACAGCCTTTTGAGTGCTTGTGCTCGAGCGTCAGCCTGGGAGATGGCCATCCATCTGGCGCCGCCAGTCGATGATGTGACCTGGAGACATTTCGCGGAAGTGCATCGCTAGTAGTAACAAGAAGCTATTAATTTATTTTAAGATTAATTTAATTCTAATAGCTTTTTTGTTACTACTAGTAAGGCACTTGTTACTACTAGCGTGGCACTTGTTACTAGTAATAACAAGGTTTGCTATTAGAATTAAATTAGAATTAGTAAGAATGCTACTAGGAGCGATGCCAGGAGCCCCGAACGTAGCGTCCTTGCTCCTAGTAGGCCATGAGCCCCGAACGTAGCTTCTTGTTCCTAGCAGTAAGATAAGACAAAAACCTGACTGTCATGGTCTCTTCTTGCAGCTAGCGGCTTAATTCCCAAGAAGGCGTTCTGATTGGCTTGTGGATGCTCCAAAGGTTCTGCAAGTGATTTGAGTTCTGTTGAAGCTGCGAAGGAAGTGACGCTGAGTGCTTTGTGCTGCGCATCTGAGAAGGGTCGCGCCTGGCCCACAGCGCTGAACCTGCTGATCTTGGCGCAGCAAAGGAGGGAGAACTCATGGTCTTGTGGATTCTTGTGCTCTTTCTCTTTCCTGTGTGTGAGTTCGCGCAGATCACTTGTCCGTCTTGAGCGCTCAAGCCTAGATTGAACCTGAATTGATCCATTCTCGCGTCTTATTTCTTGACCTTCCGGCACTCGTCAGGGGCCTGGAGCCAGAAATCATGAGCCACAACTCTGCCATTATCGCCCTCAGAGGACGGTGGAATCGGATGCTGTCCCTTGTCCAGTCAAACAGGGGTTCAGTGAAAGGAATACTGACAGCGAGTGCAGTGGAATGCCCTGGCCAATCCCACGAAGGAAGTTTGGGTCAGATCAAGTTGCAGGATTACACGATACTGGTATGTTATAGTACTTTCTTTCGTTGTTCAGCATTCTTTTGGACTGGACGGCCGTTCGTTGTCCGTGCTGAGTTTCTGGTTTCAGTGTTGGCCGACTAACTAGCCTCATGTAGAGTTCATGGCTTCGGTATGTCAACAATGTTGGATGTTTGCCCCGGAAGGATTGACATTGAAAGGATAGAAGCAATTGAAACGCTTGTGGCCGTTTGTGGCCATTGTGTTCAGATGTTTGGTTCAAGGTGGCTGCTGGAGACAATGGCTCGAAGGTGCCGAGACAGTTTTGGGGCCTCCACCTTTGGGGCCTCCGGTAGTTCACCACCTTCCACCCCACTCTGTAAGTTTCGTCGCAGGCTTTGCCGCTCTAACGTGGCCAGCTTTGAGCCGGTGGCTGAAGCTGCGGATCTGGCCGGTCGAACAGGCGTGGTAGGGGGTGAACGGAGTGTTCTCTTTTGCCACCCATGGCCAGGTTGGCTGCATGAGACGCTTCTGGCAGTGAGTGATGGAGCGCTGGAATTACTCGGACGGTGACTTGTGTAAGGTGTAGGTAGTACGTACCAGAAAAGGAGCAAGAGGAAGATATTCATACAAATGCACCCCCAAACAATTATATACATTCATGGCCTCTTGAATAAAGACCTCTTGCTCAATTTATTTTCGTAGAAGCTTGTAGCGTAACTTCTCACCACTTGGGCTCAGTGCCCCCTGTGTGCCTAGAGGCACCAGGGCAGAGCGGCACAGCCATGGTTTCGCACAGCTTCTGGTCGATTGGATTGGATGTTCTTCTTGGCTTTTTTGCGGCACAAGAACACGAGCTCGCAGGATGCTTTTTGTGTAAATAAAAGGGGTCCTGGAGTATCCTGTCAGCCTCACAGTGTTGGCTGAGAATGAGCAGATTGGGTAAGGAAGTTTGATGATTCTGCAGTGGATGTGCTGCCCGGAGAAGGCGTAGACCAGCTTTTGGCAGACTTTCCCTAGCACCTGACTGGAACAATTTCCCTTCATATTGGCTCAAGCCTCGCCTGCCATGGAGTCAGACAGCTCAGATTCTGACAGCGGCGTGCGGGAGGTCGAAGTGTGCGAAGCTGGAATCTCTGGATGCATCGCTTGCACTCTGCTGGATGAAGAGGACAACTGGGAGTCTCATGCAGGTGGGCGTGTCAGAGGACTTGAGGCCGTCCGCCAGCAGGAGGAGCCACAGATCGTTACATCGTAGTGTAGATGTTGCATTGTGAAGACAACACAGATCGTTACATCGTAGTGTTCTCTTGGATGCCAATTTCTTTGCTTCGCTCGTCCTGAGTCCCACAGGAGTCGTTTTTGAGGAAGAACCGATCTCTGCGGACAGATCCAGGGCACCCTTCTCGCATCTCATTGGCCTTTTCGGGTGGTGGGGTTCGTGCTGCGTTTGTTGCCACAGGGGTCCTGTGGAGATTGGCTGAGTGTGGACGTTTGAAAGATGTGGACTATATTTCGGGAGTCTCTGGTGGGACCCATGCAGCAACAGCTTTCGCTTCGCATGTGGTGGCGGAGGAAGCTCCTACCGGGAACCTGGACTATTGGTACTTGCAAGTTGTGGCCAAATTAATTGCTCGCATGCAAAACAACACCCCGTACCTTTGCCGGGATTTGTGGCAAGATGTGCCTCCAGAGACCCAAATCGGCTCTGGGACTTTCCCCCGAGCTTTTGATCTGGTGCAGACCGTAGGGGTGGTGCTCGGAACCCTGCTGCGTGCACCTCTGGCGATTACCGTGTTGGTGATTTTGCCTGCGGTTGAGGTGATAGAGCGCCTCAAACATCCACAGTAAACGTTTGTTGTAACCTTTCTCACCCTCATGAGGTGGCCCATGGTAATTCTAAAGATCTAAAGGAAACGGGTCCAAATTAAGGTCTAAATTAAGGTCTAAAGAAGAAACAACCAAGAAACAGCTTTTGTTGTAACCTTTCTCGGCCACATGAAGGTTGAGGTGGCCCATAGCGATTTTTCCGCTAGCTAAGGACATTGTATGGCAGAGAGATGCGGGCAGAATTCTGTGAAGATGTGCTTGGTAAAGCTTCGGATCAGCATGCTGTCATTAGTGTGTTTGGGCGCAGCACTACGCAGAAGCAAGCACTGATTCTCCTAGTCATGATTGCAGTGGCAATCTTGGCATCCTGGCATTGGGAACAAGCATTGTATGCAGCCGTGCCGCTGATCACTACCAAAACCTGAAGCTATTTACTTACCCCCTGCCCCAGTGGTGCAGTGTGTATAAACATGTCCTGGACATTTGTGTATCATATATATATAGCCGTTTCAACCAAATAAGTGAGACGAGTGAACATGCACAGAGAGTTTGGATTCAAAACTCTAACTTAGTACTTATATAGTACTCACAACTCACTTATGCTTAGCATGCCTGGGACGTGAAACTGTTCCCCATACCATAAAACTCATACATGCATTGGTCTCAAAGCTATGTTCAGTTGCCGTGCCCAATTTTGCAGTGAAACTCAGGCCCCAATCAGACCCTTGTTTATCCTACTCTTGGGCATGTTCCTTTCTGAGGTATCTTTGGGGCAAAGCTTCTTGAATCAATATATTGAGAAGACAGGTGAAGTCCGACTTGAAAAAGCCCTTTGCTGGATGTTCTTGCGAAGCAGCATGTCTGTCTCTTGGTGAAGATTTGGAAGCCCTCCTCTCCTTTGCCCTAGCCTTGATCCTGATTTTCCCTGACAATTGCACATGTTTGGAGCCCGCTCCAGGCACCTCCTCTTAAGCCCAGACGCTATCGTCGATGCAAGGTCCTGATCCGCCTCGGTTGCTGCTGCTGTTTGCTCTCCATTCTCATCGCAGGCCCAGTTGCCTGGCGCCTGCAACGCTACTCCAGCATTCCAGGTGGTACGGAGCTCCGTGCCTCGAAGGCACAGTAAAAGGTACCTAAAGCAAAGCCAAGCTTTTTATTTGGCAAGCTTTTTATTCAACACATTTCGCCATGAAATATGAAGGTGGAGAGTTTCATCACGGCTCCTGTGCCGGACTTGATCTGAGGATTCTGCCAGTGTGCTCACTTCTTCGCTGAAGGTGGTCACTGTGGCGAGCTGCTGTATCCGGAAGCTCCTTGGTTCGAACCTGCTTGGTTCACAGTGTACACAGCCCACAGAGGCCATTGGAGAGATCATGATTCAAAAGAAGAACCACTTCTAAGCATTCAATATCATTCAATGGAGTTGTTGTAGGAAGTTTCAGAACTTGACTTGAACGTGAAAATGTGCCCTTGAACTTTTGTTGTGTGAACATTTGCTGGGCGTACCGTACATTTCCACACGGATCTGCAAACAAGAGCATTGTCTACTACTCAGAACGTGCCATGTCTGCAAAGAAGACCATTCAGCATATTTTTGCTATGCCCTATGACGCTATGGTATCTTATGGGGACATGAATGAGGGCCTCATTAGAGTCTATGTACCAAGCCGCTCCTTTGCCATCAGAGGCTGTCTTCCAAACACACTGGGACAACCTCACAAAGACACAGCCGATGACCTGCAACGTGTCAGCTGGTGTGGTGAGAGCTCGAAGTGGGGACTTAATGGAAGACGCTGAGGTGGGTGCAGTGTTCGAACGTATTTGCCAATAAGCACTTGCCCGTCAAGTTCCTAGCAAGTTTTTGGCAAACCAAAGTGCAACAAAAAACAGGTGGGATGTGATATAACAACAAATACTTGAATACAGATGTGCGGGCACACACAGTGTTGCCTATAATATGCACAAACTATGAATATATACATATACAGACATTTTTTTTAAACATACACACGCACACACACACACATATATATATATATGTATATATATACACATATACATATATACAGTTCATATATATATATATATACAGATATTGCAATGGATGAACTGACGGAACTCTGGATGAGTTGAAAGAACGGTGCGAGAGTAAGAGAAGCCAGGCTTGGCTCTTGCAACGACCCATTCAGAACACCTTCTTGCCGGTCTTCCTGTTGTTGGTGCTAATGACTCTGGCTGCTGCAGTGCTCCTGCTCCCAATCATTCCAGTGACTTGGTTGCACCAGTGATTTCCAAGCTTTGGTCAGATTTGTTGCCACGTCTTATGGTACCTATTGCAATCCTTTATTCCATGAACCTGCCTTCTAGTTCCTCTTTTTAGACAATTTCAACGAGAGAGGCTTTGCTCCATTCAGTTTTTGCGGCATGCCCGAGGAATTCTTCCTGCTGGTGTTTAATGTCTTTGTGCCTGTGCTGCTGTGCCTTGTTTCACGAAGCACGCTTACCTTCATCGTCTTTCAGATAGCCCACAGAGAGTGGGTATCAAGTATCAAGATGTTTGAACATGTATGATTGATCGATTGATTGATTGATTGATTGATTGATTGGTTCCTGTAGATGGCCCCTTGGACTCCAGAGAATCTGCTTGAGTATCTCGGGCACACTTTTGCAGAGCTGAGCTGAGCCAGGGAATTTCTTCTCCTTGCTTCGAGCCATGTGCTTCCTCAGGTTTGCGTTTACATTCTTCTTGGTGCAATTCCGAGTGTTGGGGGGCCATCACTGAGGAGAGAAGTCAACAAGAGCATGGCAGAAACACGGTGTGCAAATGTACTGCCACCGATCAGTGACAAATTATTTTGGAATCGTGTAGTCTTGCTGTCGGGGTTTCATGGGCCGTCAAATTCTTCCCCTATGTGTAAAGCGTACCATCTATGAGTTCTCTATGTTGCCGTGCCAGGAGCACTACTTCGGATGTGCCCTGGACCGCCACGTGTGGCACAGGCTGGTGCAGACAGGTCTGGTGCTGGCGATCCTTGGCATGTTCTACTCTCGCTTCCTGCGAACTTTCATGCAGCTGGGTTGGAAGAGGTAGGCACGGCTCGCCCCAAGCATCCCATTTGATGCAAAGGACCCACATCGTTCGATGGTATTCTTGTTTTGGATTGTGCTGCTTGACTGCTGCTTGGACTGCTGCTTGACTTAAGGCATCGCTACTACTCCCGGAGCTTGCATCGTGCCTTTTATGCTAAGGGGGAGAACTGCACCTGGGCAGACGTCAGGCAGTGTATCTACTGCCCCATGCTGCTGGTCAGTGCCACTGTGAATGACTACATGCAGGTGCGCAGTGGAACCACCTCGGCTCTTTATTGTTTCTAATAGCTTCTTGTTGCTAGTAGCGATGCCCTTTGCTCCTAGTAGCTTCTTGCTCCTAGTAGTAAAGCCAGGAGCCCGTAGTAGCGTCCTTGCTCCTATAGATTGTTGTGAAGATTCACACTTGCTGGTTGAGCTAGTTGACAATCCTTTGGTGGGTATGCCGGAATGGCTCGCGTTTGGGCAGAGCACTTGTTGAGTTGGGCTTCAAACCTCAGGATTTGCTCCCAGAGGAGCTGGTACAATCCTGGTTCTTGTTCTTGATGGTTCGAGTATCATATAGGGAGAGGCCTGGATTCTTGTTTCCCGCAGGTGGGGTCTTTCGGTGTTTGTTTCAGGTGGTCAATATTCCTTTGCCAGGCAAAAGGACTTCTATCTCAGTGTGTATCTTGCTCGGACATGTCTTGCTCAGACATGATGCCAGCATTTGGGTGCGTCTCAACATGGGTAGAACTTCCAGCAATGCCTCTTTGAAACGTTGCCACATGTGAACAACCATCAATGAGGGGGTCCACTCCTTTCTACACCTCTGATGTGGATCGGCGACAGCCCCAGCCACAGCGCTGGCCAGTTGGGGGACACCACGCCCTTCAGCTACATGACCTTCAACCAGCTCTTTGCTGGAGGCATGGTGTCCTCTTCTATTGCGGGTATGCTTTGCGTCCAACAATCCCACCAACAGATTGAGTTGAGTTGCAGTTTCCAGGGGCAAGACAGTTGGACTGATGTTAAATGTTTCTAAGGTTTTACACCATTTTTGCATCACGGTGCTTTTGAACGTGTCCTTGATCCAGACCATTCCAATGCATCTCATAGGCTGACATGCTGACATATGCTGACCGTGTTTGTTCATGTTTGTTCACCTGGATGACATCCGTGAGGATCACGTCTGGGCTACTTCCTGGCATATGGGCAGAGGCCCTTGGCCCGCACAGCTGCACTAAGCGGAGGGGCAATTGACGGCTTCATCATGGGGAGGAAGGACGACTCAATGAGCGGCCTGGCTATGATCGTGCCTCGAATTCCCGATGGCTGAATTGAATCAGTTATATAACATAGTTGGTCGGGATTTGTAACCATCTACCATCAGCTGCCCAAAGTCCTTTTATAGTGGTGCATCTCAAACATTTGGTGGTTCATTTGCTCCTCCTGGTTGGTTATGGCATACACGGGTAAGACAAACGTTGTGCCTTGAAATTCAACCTCGTTGGCCGCAAAGTCCTACACTGAGCGACCTGGGACGGTGGGCACTCATTTTTCACACCGGGGAGTCTTTGATTTTCATATGTTTAAAACGGCGCGATAATTGACCGACCCACACCTGCCATGAACATTGGACTTGATAATTTGACCCGCCGTTGACCCAACGGTGCTGTATGAGCACGGTTAACAAGCATAAACTCTCCTTTGCCTGAAGTATGCTTGAAGCGCGGAAGCCTCCATTTTAGCCCTGCGTTGCTGAATCCGGATGCTGTTACTCTGGGTGTGAATGACCCTGTCGACAGACGGACCGAGGCTTGCGCTTTTGGTTGGAAGGCTTGGGCCTTTTCATGGGTGATTTCGTCTCCATCAGCCGAAAGCCCGGAGAATGGACAGGGCCTCAGTTCTGCCGGAGAGTGCCCAAGGTGTGTCTTGCTTGCATGCCGCATATGCACAACGCCTCCCTCTGACAGGGTGAGTCTACACAAACACGCAGCAGTGCTTGTCTTCACGGTGGTCTATGTGCTTTTGCCACTCAGCTCCGTGCAATTTCCGAAACGCACGTCCCACACTTTCAACACAACTCTCAATGGAGAAACACACTAGGAGCAAGAAGCTACTAGGGGCTCCTGGCCTTACTACTATGAGCAAGAAGCTACTAGGGGCTCCTGGCCTCACTGCTAGGAGCAAGAAGCTACTAGGAGCTACTAGGCCATCGCTACGAACGGAGCGATCGGACGCGACGAACGGGGCTCCACACTCACTGTTTTCATCGAGGCTGGTCGCGAGCTACTTCAGCGGCCCAGAGGCCCGTCCTGGAGACTGCCTCGCTGCAAAGCGGTTCGTGCAGGTGGCAGCGTGGTGGGCGCTGGCATTTGGCGTTCTCAGCTTCTTTGGATTCTTCAAATGTTTAGGCGACTTGCTGAACGTTGGCAGATTGGAGACATGTGCTACTTCAAGCGACGCCCCCAAGTGGCCACTCCAACTGGGTGCGAGTGAGATTAGCAATGCCAAGTCAGAAGTTGCAGTTTAGTTTAGATTAGATTAGATCTTCTTTACTTCTTTTTACATCTTCTTTTTTTGGGATGTTCAATGAAGAAGCACTGGACCCCAGGGTGGTTGCAGCACTCGCCCCTCATCCGCACGTTGCAGCAAGCCACCATGTTCTACTATCAGCCTTTTGGATGCACTACTTGACAGCTTTAGCACTTTATCCGCCTTTCTCCGGTGTGTTTTTGTCAACGAAGCCCTCCAACCTCACGTCTCACATCCACAAGGTCTCCGCGTCCGCCGCGGAGCGTCTACATCAGTGATGGGGGAGTCATCGAGAACACTGGCATCCTGGCGCTGATGCAACGCCGCTGTCGGCGGATCTTGGCAGTCTACGTCGGTGAGGAAGAGAAGGGCGAGGACCGACAGGCATAGTAGACCTCATGTTTGCCATGGGCAAGCATTTGTCTGACCGAGCAGTTCAATGCAAAACTCCTTTTGCCTTTCTTGCCGTTCACCTACTTGCCTTTCGTGCTGTTCATCTCGCCTCTGAATTGGCCCTGTGCTGGGATTATGAAGTTGTCGACTTGAGGACTTTGGTTGCCTGCAGAAGCTGTTGCAGACGATGTTCCTTGAATAATGAACCTGTGTAGTGAAACGCCTTTTTGGCTTTATGCAGTCCAGCCGTTTTGGCCACAAGACCTTTCCTTGAGCCAGCGTGCAAGGCACGACGAGAACATTGGCTACCTATACCATCTACAGGATCCACGCAAGGGCCCTCTGCATGCCATCCGCGAGTGCGCATGGAACGAGGGCTACTTTCTGGAGCTGGGTGGCGATCTCAGATCGCCTGAGGTAGATCTATTGTTCATGCATGCACACTTGGTTCCGTGGCCACATTGCGACAAGAAAATAGTAGCTTCTTGTTACTAGTAATTAGCGATGGCCCCCCAACCTACTTGCGATGGCCTCTGCCACCAAATACCGTCCTTGTTACTAATGTATCGACCTACCTGGCACTTCACACACGAGACTCTTTGACTGCGGCACCCAGGCATTTGCTATTATGACGATCGAGGAGCCGGGAATGCCAACATCCTGACAGTGGTGCGAAACAAGGCGAGGGGTGCTTCCCTTGGATTCCTCAAGTGGTCACGACAAGGACCTTCATTGAAATCCATTGAAGTCTCATCCGGCAAGCCGCTTGAGCCGGGCTTAAGCCGCTTGGTGAGGTTCCACGTGGGAAGTATCCCGTTTGGCAGCATCTCTCTCAAGAAGAGGTGCTCGGCACGGTGGGGCCTGAAATCGATGACGCCTTTGAGATGCAGCAGACTGAGCTTGGTGGCTGCTGTTGCGATTGCTGCCACAAGAACCTAGGCTGCTGTTGCGAAAGGAACCCATCAGACTGCGACTTCTCATTCTGAAACCGAACTGCTCCTATCTATTTAGTGCTTTTTCTCTCTTTCTGAAGGCATGTGTTTGTGGGAATACATTTTTGGTGGGTGTATACCGTTCCAAACCTCTTTATAAAACATCTCAGGACGTGGTGCAACCGCTGCATGGGTCACTTTCCGGAGCCTCCTACGGCGAATCAGTACCTTGATTGAATAAAGTGCTCAAGAGTTTTTGGATGTTCAACGGGTGTGCAGATCAAGGGTAGGAGATCTAGAACCTTTGAATATCTTCGGTCCTTCTTCGACTCAGCAGCCCGGGTTGTATATGATGCGGCCGCGGCCGTGGCCGAGGTTTTTGACTCCCCACATGTTCAATGCCCTGTGCAGACTGGGGCGGGCCCTCCTGCCAGTGGGTGTAGTGGCAAGACTGTGAGCAGCAACAAGAAAATGCTCCCACGGAGTTCTTGCTCAATGTATAGAATCAGAACAAACATCTATTTCGATTGTCACCCTGAAGCCCAAAGCGGCCGCGCCAAAGCAATGCGCAATAGGCACAAAGGATACTGAAGCTGCAAGAAAACACACCGAAGGCATGGGCTTGAAAGCTATAGGCTATATAAATATAGGTGATCATAATTTAGATTTAAAGCACACTAATTTCATCAGCAAAACGGTTCCGTATCTCTCAATCGCGCTCCTAGGCGTGACCTGGACCACTTGTCCACCTCCAACATTCTCATTCTGGGAGGTGGAGGTGGCTTCGCAGGCTTGGTGGGCGCATTACAGGCCTGGCTCCAAGTTGCCAGAGAGAGAGGGAGGGAGAGAGAGAGAGAGAGAGTGGATTTTTCAAGCGTCACCTAGGGGTGGTTCTATGTGGGGCTGGTTGATTCTTCTGTATAACTTCGTCAGATTCGGCAGATCAGGTTGAAGGTGGCACTGTGCTGCATGCACGGACACAAAACTTTGCCCTCGATGGCGTGCCTCATGCGCATAAGCTTGACGAAGCTTGTTTAGAATGAAGGCTGTGGTGATGACCGGTGACCCGATATGGGGTGGTGATATCATCCAAGATTCCACGTTTGTTGACCATCCATGAGACCACGAGATCGCGAGCCTGTTGAAGAAGGAAGGACGAGCCAACAAGTTTGGAAGTACAGCCTGCCTTGGTTTTACCAATGTTTTCAGTTTGTCTCCTTCTATCCATGATGGCACTGCTTTGGCTATGGCAATCAGTAAGGATAGTGGCCGCTTCATGTGTGCTTATGACCTGAAGCCCTTGGTGCGCACCATCATGGGCACCGATTTGGAGAGGAGACCGTCGTCGTTTCACGTGTCAAGCTTTTCAAGATTCAAAACGAAAAGCCGCGGATTTACGGTGGTCTTTATGACCTGTGGCAGAGTATTGTTGGACTGATGTACTGCGCTTCTATTTGGATGGTTGGAGCTTCCGATGCTTCCGTTGGTGTGCAGTCTTAGCCACATGGCGCCACAGAGTGCCGAGTTTCTGCAAAAGGCCCGGCCTTGTGACACCCATGTCTGGAGTTTCAAAAGGACGGAACAAAACAAGAAGGTAAGGACTGTAAGGACCCCTTGAATAAGGAGTGACATCGAATGTCATCAAAAGACATCGAGTGACGCCGACATCAATCAGCCTCGACGCAGGTGGAAAAGAGTCTGGAAGAGTACCAGGCTCATCATGAACGTCAAGTTGTTTAGTCTTCGTTACGTTTTCTCAGCCACAGGTGTGGTACGAAGCGCATGGCCAGCCTGGAAACCTGAACTTCAGCTTGCAGGAGATGCGAACCATTCCAAGTGGTGGAGTCTTTTACGAAAGCTAGCCGATAGGCGACTGCTGAGTTCTCATTTGCTAACGTAGTGAGATGATTAAGGGGGTGTGGGGGGTGAGATGCTGCCCAGCGGGGCAGAAAAAGTCGCTGTCAGCTGGTGTTTTGGGTGAGTTACAGGGTCCGTGTGGATGGGTTATGCATCATGCGGCAATTTGGTGACGGTAGGGCTTCGATTCCTCCCTGCTCCGCCCCTGCGGAGGCTGATTGCGATTCTGATTGAGTCAAAAGTTGACAAAACATCGCAAATACCGATGTTTTTTGAAGATGAAAGCGTGAAACAAGGTCAGAAATCTAGCGTTTTTTCCTGTGTTTTTAGCCTGCAGGTCGGAAAAGCATCGTAGATACCGTGTTTTTGACTGTGAAAGCAGGATAAACAGGAAAAGCAGGTGGATTTTGATGCTTTTTCTGTGTTAGGGTGCCGGAAAGTAGCAAAAGCGTGGTAAATACCGTGTTTTTGAATGTGAAGACGTGAAACATGTCGGATTGTTATGCTGGTTCGGGAGTGAAAACATCGTAAATACCATGTTTTTTGGCCTGCAGGGTGGAAAGACCATTGTAAATACTGTGTTTGTAGGTGTGAAAGCGTGAAAAGCAGGGGATTTTTCTGCGTTTGTTTGCCTGCAAGTTGGAACACATATCGTAAATACAGGTTGTGGAATTTGAGCACGTGAAGCCATCGAAAGACCCCCGGCCTGTACTCTACTCTATTCTACTCTACTCCAACTTTCTGACACAGAGAGAGAGAGAGAGGATGCAGCAGACAGGAGTTTCGTATTGGATTGTTTATAGGTTTGAAAACGTGAAAAGCAGGGGGATTTTTCTGTGTTTGTGTGCCTGCAAGTTGGAAAACATATCGTAAATACAGGTTTTGGAATGTGAGCACGTGAAACAATCGGAAGGCCCACTGTACCCTACTCTATTCTACTCTACTCCAACTTTCTGACACAAAGAGAGGGAGAGAGAGGATGCAGCATACAGGGATTTCGTATTGTTTTTTTTGCGATTGGTGTTCCCACCTTGTCTTGTCATGAGTGCTTGCTGAAAGCACGACAGAACATCGTTCCTTTCTCGTTCTATCCTAGCTTGTCTTGTCATGAGCACGAAAGTGAAAAAACCTCGCCGCCCACTGTACTTTACTCTACTCTACTCTACTCTACTCTACTCTGAGAGAGAGAGACAGGGTGCAGCATACAGGGATTTCATATTGCTTTTTTTTTGGCAGAACTACGGTTATGTCTGATGCTTTGGTGTAGTGCAGTTCTACTGATTTGCCGCCGTCGTCCCACTACGTTCGCAGAAAGAACTACGGTTACGTCTGATGCTTTGGTGTTTTGCAGTTCTACTGATTTGCCGCTCCGTGGGCTTATTTGCATGCAGGTGGACATTTACTACAATTACAAAAAGGGATAGGTTTAGTAGCGCTCTAGACCAGTGTGGTTTAGACCCTCTTGCACGTTATTCTGACAGTTGGCCATTCGCAAACATTTTCAATCAACTTGGCTGGGCTCCCGCTCTGCCGCAGCTCGCACGGGCGGAACAAAAAGAGAGACCCTAGCTTTCGTTTGCTACCTCTCAGGTTTCCAAAAGCAAGTATAGGGCATTACATGGTGTATATATACATATACGTATATATAATATATTGGAACTATAGAGCATTATTTCTGTATGCACCCAGTGCTCCCTTTTTATTTTCAAACCGTGTGCGTGTCTCCAGACACACTTTTCCAGATTTTCTAGGAGGTGCCGCCGTGCAAACTGAACCGCAGCAAATTTGTGGATCCCACTGGCCAGCTTCCATTTTGAGCTTCAAAAAACCCTTAGAGCTTGGAAACAGCCTGGGCTTGCAAAGCGAGCACCGAAGAGAAGACAAGCGGCCTGGGATGTGGGGCGTGTCCTCAGCAGAAGCGGTGGAAAAGATTCGTGCCGGTTGATGTAACTTCTGCTCGTCATTGCTTCAAGCACTCTCGCAGTCTCTCATGTTCTTAAGGTGGCTCTTTGCGTCCTCCATCGTTTTCAGGCCTTTGAGGTGGTCGACTCGCTGGGTGCGGCGGAGCCCAAAGAGGGCTGAGAGCCTCAGAGATGGAGCATGGGGGCGTTCGCACGGGGTACATTGGCCATATGGGTGAATGGATGGCCATGGATAGTCATGGAAAGCTCAGACTGACATGTCAGTGTAGCCATGCGGAATATGAAACAGCCGTGACAGTTGTGGTTGCCATGTAGCTGAGGTGATGCGCTTTGGCTGCAATGGACCGGTTTACGTTTGCTTGTGCTGAGGGTCCTGATCAGGGGAGCATATTGCCCTTGGAAGTCTTAGGCATAGTTCTGCTAGATAAACAAGGACCACTGGTTTTTGGTGATGCCGTCATATCCACCCCGCTTTGCTAAGTGGAAGCGCCGGCGCTTGGATGAGCAGGGATGCTCAGAGAGCCAAAGATCAGAGTGCAGAGAGCAAAAGATCAGGTGGCCCTCGACTGATGTCAAACTTGTGTTTTATTCTTGAACTTGCAGGATCAGGTAAACATCCAAGTGGCAGTGTCTTGAGCCAACCGATCGTCAACGCCATCTTATCCTCCTCCTCCCTTCTATGCAGCGATCCAGACTCCAAGAGTTTTGTAGTAGCTTCTGGCTACTAATACTACTAAGGCACCTTTCTACTAGTAGCTTCTTGCTAACTAGTAGTAAGGCCAAGAGCTACTAGTAGCGTCCTTGCTCCGTTCGTAGCGATGCCCTTTGTTACGTTCGTAGCGATGCCCTTGCTAGTAAGGCACCAGCTCCTCTGCCGGCGACGGTGTTCGACCGAGGCACAATGGCACCGAGCCAACAGCGGCCCCACCAGGCAGCTGTGGGCCCTGATATGGATTGGTCGGAGTGTCCATCGGCATGTGCTTAAGGGGGGCTCTCATCCAAAAGATGTATATTTGAGAACAGGGAGGGGCCTGAAATGAGATACAGTATACTTCGATTTAATGCCCAAAAATAGCCTTGTGCTTCAGCAAAGCATGGAGGGGGGTTGATTTGACTCTGGCTAGCGGCCAAGGATTGTCCCTCAAGTAAATCAATCCTCGACGTGTCCAATGCATTTGGCGGCGCCACTGACTTTTCATGAATCTCCACAACCTGAACCTGGTCGCCTTTCCCTTTAGTTTGCAGGGTGACCATTTCACATATATAAATTTCCAGTCATGCAAAAGCAGACCCCGGTGCTTAGCCTGTGCTGGCCCACAGGCTCGGAGGTGTCCAAGGAAGAGGAGAACTTGATTTTTTCCTGCCAAGAGGAGGGCTGATTTGATTATGATGTTTGCATGATCCAGGAGGACGACATTCTGAACTTCAGCTTTGTTGCGATGGTTGCAGCAAATGACATTCCACTTAGTTAGGGCGAGCAACCTTCCTCCGAGGTGTCATTCTCTCATTTCAAGCTTGTATTGAATTGACAGCTTCAAGCCCAGGATGGAGGTGTTCATCCAAACTCTTTTTCACTCTTGTTTGGCAGCGGTGGCCAAAGCGCAACAACTCAGCTCTGTTTGGTGCGTTTTGTCAAGCCAAGATGCTGCGAGAGACCTCGAAGCTGCTCCTGAAGTAC